TGGGGGAGGGGTGGGGGAGGGGAGAGAGGAGGAACCTCCCCAGGTACTCCAGTTACAAATCCTGGCACAGTGAGGGGCGAGCCACCACTGTGGGTACAGCTCATCAGCACTGGCTGCTCCCAGCAAGAAAGTAGCAAGATTTTCTTCACCTGGCATCTCTGTGATCATCAGTAATTGGCCCTGGGGACAGAGTAGACATGATTCTAATCAGTACAGGAGTCCCTGGCAGGTTTTGCTGTCTGATACCACGAACTGGAGAGGAAGAAGAGCAGGTTCTGCTTTGGGAAGGTTAGAAACATCTCATGATAACAGGTAAGAGAACGTTCTCTTCACCCTTTTCTTTTCTTTTCTTTTTAATCTCATAGAATTTTCTAGAATTCTGCTTGGGGTACAGGCAGACAGCTGTTTGCAGTAAAAATGGGTATTATAAGACAACTATTTACATTGTCAAGGAAGCAGGTTTTTCTCCTCAGGAGGAAGGTAAAGGGAAGTTTGTCCCATTCATTGTAAAGACTGACCACGTGCCCCCCCTCAGCCTGGCACAAACATGGGGTGCAGCAGTGCACGGGGCTTAGTGTGCTCAGCTAGCTGTTGCTATGGAATTTTGTCCCTGCAATCAGAGCCTCTGCCTTGATAACTTAATTGCACTTTAAAAAAAAAAAAACACAAAAAGAACCCTTGAATTTGAGTAAATCCTGAGAATATCATGAAGGCTTTTGATTAATGTAAAATTAAAGCTCTTTCAGAAGCATTAATTGAATTAAAAAAACACTATTCAAAGAGCTGTAAGGATGGCCCAAACCATTTGAAGATATACAGTCATTATCTTAAAATCTGGTTAATTAAGGCACTAAGTGTCATCAAACATCTTGACTTCAGGGCACGTTATTTATATTTAAGTTCCTATCTCATTTTCTTGTTGTTCTGACCCTTTGATATCTATTTTTCCTTCCTGCATTGCCCTATCCTGAATCTTCCATGTTAGCTGGAAAATAAACCCTAGAATATTTCAAGCTCAGTCTTTCTCAGCATCCTTCTTGCTGACCAGGTGTGGATGAGATGTCATAATTAAAAGTGACCCATTTCTTCTGAGATTGCTGAGATAAAACATGCTTTTGGCTTGGCAGAAGAATTTTGTCTTTGACTGCTGAAAGAAACAAACTGTAAGCATAATATTAAATCAGTATTAAGAGTGACAAACAATACACTTAAAAGCTTGGGAAATTACTATTCCCCCAAATAAGGTAAAAGAAACCATTAAGTTCTGAGCGAAATGTCACCCTCAAGCCCTTGGCATAATCATCTTACCAGCAGGCATGAGTCACCTTGATCTCTGTCGTGTGAAACCACAGGTACCACCTAGGATGCTTAGAGCTACACACAGGTCATAGAAGACCCACAATGCCCGAATATTTAGAAAATTGATTACCTTACAAAATAAATCTGTTGGTAGGGAGTGCTCCACACTTGGTTAGTTCAACAATTCAAAGGTGTAATTTAACACAAATATCCTTTGTAGCTTTGTTGTTTGGGCTTTGGGGCTCACATTTGTCCTGTTTGCAAGATGGCTGCAGCATCTTCATCCAGAGGCCACATCTGAGGCAGGAAAAGCACTCAGTTTTCTCCCTTCCTTCACTTTTCAAAAGCATGGGAACCTTTCCCCAAACCACCCAGTGGACTTCCACTCACACCCGACTGGCCAAAGTTGTGTCACATGCTCATGACTAAACCCAAACCAGCAAGGAGAGCAGATTACCATGGTTGTCTTAGACCCCACGATTCACCCCCCGAGACTGGGGAGAAGCTCTGCCTCTCATGAAGGGCATGACCCCCAAGACCCACATGAGGCAGAGTTCCGTTAGCAGGGGAGAGCTGGGGGGAGATGGCTGCTGGGTGGGAATGATGGGCAGACATCTATCTGTGTTTTCCACTGCCCATCGTCCTGTCTCCCTAGCTGCCCCTTTTTAGCCCCCTTACTTACTCCTCTTCCGTCTGCCTGTCCTTGAAATACTAGGATTCCTCAGCACCCAGCCCGGGCCATCTTCTCTTCTCTGTGTGTGCTCCCTCAGTCCTGTGGTCTTAAATGCCATCTACACGTTGGCAACCCTCAAAATCGGTATCTTCTTCACAGACCCCTCTCCTCTGAGTTCCATGTTTGGACATCTAACTTCCCACGTGACAGCTCTACTTTCATGTCTCAGAAGCATCTCAAACATAATATGCCCAAAACCGAACTCTTTATTTTCCCCCAAACCAGCCCCTTCCCAGGTTTTCCATCTTAGTAAATGGCACCTCCATCTGCCAGGTGTCTCATGACAGATGTTTGGGAGTCAGTCTTGACTCTTACCCTCCCTAACTGCCCATCACAACCACTCTTCTTTTATTCAACATGGCATCGAGCACGCTGCTCCTACAATAGGTGTCCAGCCCACAGTGGGTGCTCAACAAATATTTGTTGAAAATGATTGAGTGTGCTTGTATGGTACATCCCTTGACTGGAGAGTGGAAACATGGAAGTTTAGAAAGAGCTTGAGGGTAATAACATGTGACATTCTGATAAAGGTGTTCATTTGGGGATGGACTGAAAGAAACATTGACAGTGCTTTCTGAGAGTTATAATGCCACTCTTCCTCCCCAATTCAAACATAAGCCCACCAATCTTTTGGCAGGACTTCCATGAGCACTGAAAGAGTAGAGATGAAATCTTACAATTTACTTGGAGCTTCTCTCAGGTACATTGGCTTCCTTATGGTTCCTGGTAGCAATGCCACATTCAATGGTACAGTGCACAATGAGGGCCCAACGTGAATTGAAATTGTGATGCATGATCTGCATTTTCTCTCAATGTCTTGTGATCAGCAACTACTGAAATGAAGAGTTGAGGGATGTTGTTCTTTTCTTTTCCAACATCAGTGACACTGATGGCTGTGATGTTGAAAAGATGGAGGATTTTAACAGTCAGCTACTGCTGCATAACAAGCACCTATAAAATCTTGGTGGCAATGAGAATTTATTTCCCATGCATCTGCAGCTTGGCTAAAGTGGCTCCTCTGGGCTGGGTATTGCTGGGGTAGTGCTTCAAGCCATCGATCTGGCTGGGTTTGATGGTGAAGAGGTGAATGTTCCACATGTATTCATTGTGCGTCCCACTCAAGGGAAGTTCTTCTCACTAATGACAAAAAACACAGGAGGGCAAGTGGAAATTCTTGAAGCTTCTTAAAGCCAAGACTCAGAGCTGGCACAATGCCACTTTAGCTAGTTAGTCAAAGCAAGCTGTAAGACCAAGCTCAAAGTCAAGGGCTTTTCTGGGATGATCTACAGAGCTACAGGGCAAAAAGCATGGATACAGGGAGGAGTGTTGAATTGGAACAACACTTCAATCTGCCCAGGTATATACTACACATCAAAGAAAACAGAAGAGAAAGCTTGTGTTCAGCTTGAACTGATCAAGTCCAGGGTGGGGCTGCATCTCCCTCTGCTCCTGTCTGCTTTTCACTGTAACTCAAACTATACCTTACGGTCCCTTTGAAATAGACTACCCAATATAGGTTCCATCCCTCCCGAATTCATTCCATTTTTTTATCTATTCAGTAATACCCAGACTACTTCCCGGGATGGTGCCCTGGATGTTGATTTCTTAGTATGGTTGTTATGGGAAGCTTTTCATTTCACATCTGCTGACACAATTTGCTGTCTCTCTAAAATAAAAAAAATTTAAAAAAAAGAGAGAGAAAGAGAAAGAGACTCATACTCTGATGGCTGTAAAGGATAATGAGTAATTTATTCAGAGCTGTATACAAATCAGACTATCATCTTCCAGACAGAATCAATAATATAATTTTAAGCCCACACACATTTACAAATGCGAACACTCCAGTGCAGCTGGGTTGCCATGGGCAACCAGGGCATGCCAGCTTGTGATCTGAAACAGGCTGATGTCTCCCAGCCTGGGAAGCACATTCTGCAGACAGACTCCAAGAGAGGAGAGGATGTTAGTGTTGGCTCTGATCTGGCCGCCACCCAAATGCACCCCTGTGATGGTTTGGATTAGTTCTCGTCTGAACTGCGCAGCTTTTTAAAACTCCTGTTTACACAGGACTTCTCCAGTATCCCTTCTGTGTCTGTGCTGAAGCAGGCTGGGGAATGGAGTGGGGAGAGTGTGATGGAGCCGTGTGGACTAGAGCAGGCAACGAGAAACTCCACCCAGTTGGAGTCAACTGGAAAGTGGGCTCAATGGGTCTTCCCCAGAAGAGGTCCTGATCAGATGTCGGGAGCTGATGTACGCTGGTTGGAAAATCAAGAGCAAGAAACAGGACGGCATGAAGAGGAAAGAGAAGGTGGTTTTGGGCAAAAACAAACACTGGGAGTGCGGTGAGGGGCAGACAGGTCCCATTAAAAGGGCTGGAGGGAGGGGATGGCACACAGGAATGACCTGTGATGACTCCATTTAAATATGTCAATACAAACCTAAATTCATTGTCAAAAGAGCCTGTCTCAGTCATCTTGGGCTGCCATAACAAAATACCATACACTATCTGGCTTAAGCAACAAACATTACTTCTCACAGCTCTGGAGGTTAGAAACCCAAGAAGCATCATGGTGGCAGTGTGGTGGGGTCCTTGCTGAGGTTCTCTTCCTGGTTTATAGATAGCTGACTTCTCCTTGTCTCCTCACATCGTGAAGAGAGATCACCTCTCTCGTGTCTCTTTTTGTAAAGGCGCTAATCCCATTCGTGAAGGCTCTACCCTCAAGACCTTACTACTTTCCAAAGGCCCCACCTCCAAATATCATCATACTGGGGATGAGGGCTTCAACATATGAATCTGGGGGGAGAGGACACAAACTATGAATTATAGGATGTTCCTGGTGAGAGCGCCACTGATATTCACAAGAATCATGAAAACATTTAGTTAAGAATTAGGTGATTTTTGACAATACCATAACATGATCTGTCCCCACCTCACTGACTAGTCTTGGTCAGATTCAAAGAAGAGCAGACTGGTTGAGAGACAGATCCCACACCCGCCACTGAAGAACACACTCCTTGACTTAAAGCTGAGCCTTCTATGTCAGTTTGCACACCTGCTACAACAGGGAGGTGCCTCCGGTGGGAGCAACGAGAGCAGAAGGTCTTAGATGAAGCTAACACCGGGTGTTCCTGGACCGTGGGGAGACCCAGAAGCCTCAGGGTTTGTGTGAACTGGGGTGGGAACCCATCAGGAAAGTCCTTTTTTCCTACCTTTTTTTTTGCTGAGAACATTTAAGTTCTACTCTCTTAGCAAATTTCAATTATATCATTACATTACAGTGTCATCAACCACATTCACCAAGTTATCCATTAGATCCTCAGACCTTATTCACTTTATAAAGTTCTATGAAAGTTCATAGCCTCTGACCAACCCCTCCCTATTTCCCCACCCCCAGCCCCTGGCAACCACCACTCAGCTCTCTGTTTCCATGAGTTTGACTTTTGTTTTAGATTCCACATATAAAGTGATATCATACAGTATGTGTCTTTCTCTGGTTTATTTCACCTAGCATAATGCCCTTCAGTTTCATTATTCATATTGTTGCAAATGACAGGATTTCCTTCTTTTTTTTCTTCTTTTTTAAGGCTAAATAATATTCCATTAAAGATATAATGTATATGTGTGTATATATCACATTTTGTTTATCTATTCATCCGTCCACAGACACTTAGGTTGTTTCAATACCTTGGCTATGGTGAACAACACTACTGTCAGCTGGGGAGTATGGATATCTCTTTGAGACAATGATTTCATTTCCTTTGGATATATATGCATTCCAGAAGTGGAATTGCTGGATCATTCTATTTTTAATTTCTTGAGGAACCTCCATACCGTTTTCCTTAGTGACTGCACTAGTTTACACTCCCACCAACAGTGCACAAGAGTTCCCTTTTCTCCACATCCTGGCCAATACTTGTTACTTCTTGCCTTTTGGATAATAGACACCCTAACAGGTGTGAGATGAGGAGAGTCTTCGAGGTGCAGCAGAGAAATCATAACAAGCACCTGGGAGATCACCTGGTCCAACCTCCTCACTTCACAGACACCAAAATTAAAGTCACAGAAGTTAAACAATTTGTCCAAGGTCAGAAAACCAGAGAGAGGCATGTGTGTACAGACCGTGGAGCAGCGGGGAGCCCCTGGGCTCCAAGCAAAGGGATGGGGTGAGGAAAGGGGGCTTCAGGAAAGTGGATCTGGGGTCAAGAAGGATCAGGGATGAGAGCAGCAAAAGTCAGGGAGACCCAGAAACCACCCAGGCTGTGGGTCGTGGTAATAGAGGGTAGTAGGACTGAATGGCTTGGTGACTGGGGATGGAAGGTGAGAAAGAGGAAAAAAATGACTCAACTTCTGAGTTTGAGCAGCTGGTCAAATGGTGGTTCTGCTTCCAGGAAAGTGGGCAGTAGAAAGAGTCAAAAAGGACTCAGGCTCTGAGGATGGTTCAAAGTGGGGGTCATTCTGGGGAAATCAGGCTGGAGCAGCATTTGGCAGGCTGGGATCCAGGAGCCAGCAAGACAGCCAAGAGGAGAGATTCTGCAGCCAGTGAAGGCTGCCCTGGATCTTTAGGAACAGAGGGACCCCCACCTCCGCCTCCCAAACCTCATTCAAGGGTCAGCATGGAGGCCTGGCTCCAGAGTTTGCCTCTTGGTCATATCTCCCTCGTTCTTAAATCCTCTGGCTTCATATTTCCTATTATCACCCCCAAGCTCTGATCCTTTATTAAGCTGTGTGCACAATCACCTCTGAATTACTAACCTTGACAATCACTCCCTGCGCATGTGGACTTCAGTGACCCTGACATTTCTGAGTGAGAACAAGGCGCCCTCCACCTAAGGCTTCCCTGGTCCCCTCACCCTACAGTGACCCCTGTGGTGAAATGTCCAGACCTCTCCTGTGCTCCAGACCTCCATTTCCAATTGCTGGATGGACCTCTCTACCTGGATATCTCAAAAAGAGATTCAATTCAATATGCCCCCAGTGGAATGAATTATCTTATATTGCACATCTTTTTACTCTCCCCGTGTTCTCCTAATAGCCTCTTCCCATTCACCTCATCCAGAATCCTGGTGCCATCTTCCATCTCCCCAGCCTCCAGAGTCATGGGACCCTGTTACCGACACGCATCCTACATCTCCATTCCCACTACCATCTTGGTTCAGGCCCTCTGCAATTCTCTCCGAGACTCCTGCAAACGGTCTCCGTCCCTCCCCATCTCTCTCCTTCGTGCTGCAGAGAGAATGGTCCTACGACGTCTTGTTAAGGTGGCTTTTCATTTTCTTAAGGACAAAATCCAGCCTCCTAAGTATGACGTACACTAGATACACGGGGGTCAAGATTGTTTGATTTGCTCTGTCTCTTCCTGGAAGGCACTGTCCCTCTAGTCTGCCTGGAAAACTAATACTTATCTTTCCAGTGGCTTCTCCCTTGAGAAGCGTCTCCTCACCCTGACCTCTCCAGCCAGCATTAAGTGCTTCCTCTCTGTGTAGTTCCAGGGCTGCAACAGACCTGGTGCTTATCAGAGTGTTAAAATTACTGGTTCACCTGTCTGTCCTCTGTTTTGTCTTCATAGTCCCAGCGTCTAGCCCAATATCTGGTATAGGTCAAGCCCTTAACAAATGCTGATCGGGCTTCCCTGGTGGCGCAGTGGTTGAGAGTCTGCCTGCCGATGCAGGGGACACGGGTTCGTGCCCCGGTCCGGGAGGATCCCACATGCCGCGGAACAGCTGGGCCCGTGAGCCATGGCCGCTGAGCCTGTGCTCCGCAACGGGAGAGGCCACAGCAGTGAGAGGCCCACCTACCGCAAAAAAAAAACAAAAAAAAAACAAAAAAAACCACTTACCTGTGATAATAGGCTGATAGTTCCTCCAATAATGAGAAAGGCATACTATACAGTAATTTGAAAGCAAAGTTATAAACAGTAAGAAAAGTAACACATTAGGCCCCCCCCCCCAAAAAAAAAAAAAAAAAAAAAAAAAATGCTGATCAAGGTGAGAGAATGGATGAAGAAATGAACGAAGAGTTTCATAACGCTATACCACCATGCACACACCCCCATTCTGAAGGGTCACTGCTTCCAGAACTCTGAGTTTGACTCAGGAGAAAGCCACCCTCCTCAGACCAGCTACAGGTGTGGGAGTACAGATTCTGACAAGCTGGGTAATAAGTGAGAAAGCAATAGTGTTTAGAACCAAAATGAAACCTAGAGACTCCTTCACCCACTTTCTCATTTTAGGGGCCAGGGCACAGGACTGGATAAGGTGAAAGCCACTGGACGTAGATCTGACTTAGAGTTCACTGATCTTTCCCAGGCAAAGGTTCTAGCTGCTGCGAGTGTGTGGGCCAATTCTTTTACTTAAGTAGCATTTTTTCTTCTGGTTACAAAATAAGTCTTCATTATAGAATATTATAAGTTGATTGTATAGGCTCATTGTAGAAAATACAGAGAAGAACAAAGAAAAGGAAATAGGAACCATGTGTGGAGCCCTCACCAGAGACAATTCGTTCTTTCAATCTGGCTTTTTGGAAGAAACAGAAATCCCCTCAAGGTGGCTCAAGTCAAGGGGCTTTGTGGTGAGGACACACATGCAATGACAGGGGATCTCATGGAAATCTTCGAACAGAAAGCTGTCTCTGAACCGGGCTTTCATGAGGCAGAGTCGGGAGTGGCTTTGGATTCGGAGGATATCTGGGAGCCAAGGTGCACTAGCTCAAAAGCTCTACTCTGGAGCCTCCTTGTTCGTGTAACTCAGCTCCCTCCACTTGCCTGCTTCTGTCTGTCCTGTCTCCATTTCCTGAACATTTTCCCACCATTTCCTGAACACTTTTCAAATGTCCTAGTTTAGACACTGAGACAGAGAGAGACTCTCACTGGCCCAGCTAATCTTTTCAGTAGTCCTCAGGTTGATGGACATCTTTTACTCCTCTAATCAGCTGTGGGCAAGAGGGTCAAGGGTACCTGGTCAGCCTTTGGTAGGATAGAAGGAGCAGGGCTGGCCTCAGTAATAATAATAACAACAATAATAATAGCTACCATACCTGGAGCACCTACTATGTGCCTTGAACTACTCTAAATACTTGACCTGGAGCACCTACTATGTGCCTTGAACTACTCTAAATACTTGACATACATTATAACATTTACTTCACTTTTTACCCTGTGAGATGGGCACTATAATTACGACCATTTCATTTGGGGAAATTTAATATTATGATCCATGTAGCTGTATGTCTATATTCTGCCACCCCAGAAAAAAAGGTTGAGTGTCTGCCACACTTCCGTATCCTAACCTCTTCTCTCTCCTTCAGCCCCCCACACTGCAGTGGTTCGTGCTCTCATTTTAGTTGTCCAGAGTGCTTCATTTAAATGCCCCATGTCCAAAACCACCCTACTCCTTCTCCCCTCCCCCACTCATCCAAATCCTATTCCTCTCAGTTCACTTCCAGCTCTCCGCCCCTCTCTTCACCTGACCCCAGCAAGCCTGATGCATTGTGTGAGCCCTGCCATTAGTAGAGTGGTCTTTCCTCCAAGACAGATTTTATGTTCTTTTGGTTACAATGAAATAAAATTTCAAGGCACCAACAGTGAGAAATTCTTCAAAGAGTTTCACAGGCTCTGTAGACTCAATTCCTACCTGCAACATCCAGGATGCTCTAAAGGGGGCGCTCTTCATCATCCAATAATCCTGAACCCTGACGGGGACACACAGTCTGCCCTAAGGCCTACAGCTGGGCCTCTGATGGGATAACTGGTCTACCTTTCTGTTCCTTTTCCCAGAGACTAAATATGGACCCAATCAGCTGAAATGAGATTACAAACTTCTTTTGCCTTACTTGGCAACCAAAGAGATGAGTTTCCCCCCCAGCCTCTATGTTTCAAAAAGATCCAATAAGCAAGATCTTTAAATCAAGGAAGTTTAAGAAAGAGTAGTATTACTCTGAGAACAAATACAAAAGGGCACAGCACTTAAGTAAAAAGTCTCAAATCTATTATTGCCTCTGTTTCCCTAAGATGGAAACACATGGAAAACCCAGCAATCCCAGGCACCTTGGGGGACTTTCCCCCTATAACAGTGTTGTCAAATTAACAGTAATTAGAATTACTGCTTAAACAACTTGTCATTTATACCTAATTGCTACAGACTACAATAAAAATGATCAAGACAGATTCACTTTGTTGTAAGCTTTATTTAATTACAATCCTTAACTTCCATGGATTTTGTCTTAATAGTTTACTGCCTACTTGTTACATTGTCTTTTCGGAACTGAAAACATTTAAGAAACTAGTAGTTCTGGGGCTGTATCAGGGGTCTCTTTTTTTCCCGCCTTTACTTAAAGCAGAGTGGGAAGGGCTCAGCTTGATGCCTTCCATCGTGGTCAGTTAAGGCAGGGGTCCTACCTCCACACCCCCAAAAGTCCTGTCCCACTTTTGGTGCCACCTCTGAGAAGGTGGCTTCTCAAAAGGGAATTAGACGTGGGGTCATGGGTAATGGGAGTGGAGGGGGACCCAGTCTCCTTACCGAGACCCCTGACAGGACTGTGTCTCGGGATGGGGTCCGGGCAGCATACTGAACACAGTGGCGATCCTGGGGGAGCCGCTAATGCTTCGAGCTCAGACTTGCCCCGCCGGACCTCGGCCTTCGGGGGAGCAGGGGCTGCGGAGAGCAGACCCCCCAGCCTGGCTGCTGCGGGCCTGCCTCACCCGGGGAAGATGCGCAGCCCCTCGGTCGGAACCGAGGACGTGGCCCAGAGGAGGGTGCCGCCTCCACACGCGGACCTGGCGCGGAGCCTGCGGACGGAAAGGGTGAGGGAGCGGCGATCGCACCGCCTTTGTGGGCCATGCGGGCTCTCGCGCAGGGCTTAGGGCTGTGCTGGAGCCCCCTAGGGTCCGTGGCCAGTGACGCTGTTTAAAGCTGGGGTCCATATCAGGTGTGCTGTGGCCTCCTCTTCCCACGGAAGACCCATCCAGACCCATCCGCTGTTTGCTGCTCCGTAACCGACCTTCCCAGCGGGCACGCACCTCGCAGAGCATCCCTATAATCGGCCGGGACCAGCTTCTGCAGGTGTCTTTCCTCTCCCCTTTCCACGCCTATCAACATTTTCCTTTCTTCGGTCCACCTCCTTTCCAGTCTCATTCTTTGCTTCCCAAGGTCACAATTGCCTCTCCGGATAAATCAGATTCATGCTAATATGTTAAGGGTATGAATAAATTCCAGTTAATCCATCTCATTTGATTTTAATTTGGCAAACATTTATGGAGCAGTATCATATACCGAGCCCTAGAGAAAAACTCAAATTTAAACAAAATATAGCCCCTCAAGACTTTACACAACCAGCAGTTTTTTCTCAAAGGAAATGTTTTAGAGTGCCAAAATGAGATTTTTTAAAATTTAATAATAGTATATTTGTGTTAATGTTCCCTGGAAATCTAACAATCACATGGAACCCAACCATGATTTCATGATTACTATTGTTTTGGATGAGGCTAAAGGAGGTAATATGTACAATAAGTGAGTCTATTTAAAGAAAAATATTAAGTAAATAAAATAAATGAGAAAAACCTGTACAGATAATGGACTCATGACTAAGTTTTAGGGAAACAGGAGCTCAGTAAGAGAGAGAGATGTGTATCCAAAGACACGTGCCCCTCATGGGGAGACGGGGAGGGGGGACATGACTTCTGGCTTTTGAGGACAAGGAAGGCTTCTGGGAGAAGGTGGCATATGAGATGGGCCTTCAAGGATCTCTAGGAGTTTTTCCAAGATATTACAAAGTGGAGGCCACCCCTCGTGGAAGAAACAGCACACCAGGCTACCCAAGTGATTGAAGTAAACGGGGCCCGAGGAGCAGAAATGGGGTGAATGCTGGACAGTGAGTTTGGAAATGGATGATGAGGAGATTAAAAAATAGGGAATTCCCTGGCGGTCCAGTGGTTGAGACTTCGCGCGTTCACTGCCGAGGGCCCGCCTAGGTGCGATCCCCGGTCAGGGAACTAAGATCCCACAAGCCGCGTGGTGGGGAAGAAAAAAAAAATTGGGGTTTTGTTCTTTTTGCCATTGTGACCTATGCAGATAATGTATCAAAAGGAGCTTTCCTCAGGGCAGGGATCTTCAAGGTGAGGGCTAGATCAATTAATGGGTCAGGAGATTGATTTGCTGGAATATGACTGACATCTAAAACAATGACAGCTATTAGTTAATATCAGAGCGCATCTTCTGAATAAGCACAAGTCGTGTATTGTGAAACTTTTGTTGCCTAGTGTGCATTGAGTCATGATGTCAAACGGGTCAGAATATTTGAAACGAATTGCCCCTGTGTGATCTCAGCCACGGAGGATCTTCCTGAACAATCTATTTCCGGTCACCTCTCAAGTCAGTGCATAGAGAGTTCAACCGTGTAGGTCGTACTCCGACCTTCACTTTGCCCATCAAACACTTTTTCAGTCTTCCAGGCTTCCATGAGAACTTTTCAGTCATTGTCAGAGGTTATGGGACGTTTCCTGGTTGAGGGTGACTTTTTCACCAACGTCGGCCAGGCCAGGTTTTGCTCCTTTGCTGATTGGGTTAGCCAGTTTGGAGCCTGCGGTGACCCAGGCCATATTGCTTGTAGCTGGGCTGTGTTTGACAGGATGCCTCTGAGGCCTGAGGCTCCCCGTTGCCATCTCAGAACGGTGACGGGATCTGCAGCTCCTGGCTCGAAGTCTGTGTGGGCTGGTGTGGAATCAAGGCTGTGCAGGAGGATGTGCGATGATGCCACTTCAAAGGAAAAGGCATGGCTTCAGTGACACATATTTAAATGAGCTGTGGGAAAACGGGCACACAGCAGCTATTTTTTATTTGTGTTAGAACTACAAGAGCCAGAGTTGCTCACGGAGTACTGGCTTTGGATATAGATGAAGACTTTTTGGCTCCGCCCCTCACTTCCTTGGGGACTTGTCTTCTCCGGTCCTCAGCTTCCGCGCTGTAAGGAAGGGGCGTGACTATAACGGTTCTGAGACCCCTTCCAGCTCAGTTCCTCTCTGTCTGTTTCTCCATCGCCTTGCTCTTGGTATAGATCTGTTGCTTCTGTTCTCTCTCCTCCCCCCAGTGCTCGTGGCAAACTGAGCGAATCCATCCTGGCTTTTCCCTGCCAAGAGCCTCAGAATCCTTCTCAACATAGTACTCGACTGCTACAACCGATCAGTGCACATGTGCAAGGTCAGCTTTGCCATTCTTATTTGCTAAGGCTGGCAGAAGCATTTCTCCCTCTCTCTCTCTCTCTCTCTCTCTCTCTCTCTCTCTCTCTCTCTCTCTCTTTTTTACCACTGAGAGGCCATGGAATCTACCCAAGCAGCTGGAAAAGCAGCAAAGTATTCATTTTAGATTAATTTAGAGAAGCAAGCTGGGAAATGCTTGGGGTGCTCCTTGCAGCCCATTTGGATCCTGTTTAAAACTTGTAGAGGGGACTTCCCTGGCGGTCCGGTGGTTAAGACTTCACCTTCCAATGAAGGGGGTGCGGGTTCGATTCCTGGTCGGGGAACTAAGATCCCACATGCCTCGTGGCCAAAAAACCAAAACATAAAACAGAAGCGATATTGTAACAAATTCAATAAAGACTTTAAAAATGGTCCACATCAAAAAAATCTTAAAAAAAAAACTTTGTAGAAGCTGTAGAATGTCCCCGTGGTGGGAAGAGTCTTTAATACTCACTGAATGAAGGAGGAGGTTTGACTCTTCAATTGTCACCGTACTTTTAACCGTATAACATATAATCATAACTAAAACAGCAAGGTAAAAATGCCTCCAAGTAAAGGGGAATTTGAGGTTCACTTCTAGGGGACTAGTCACTTGGGTTGAAACAATCCACTCTGACTGTTAGGCTCTCCAGAGGAGAGACATGAGTGATAGTGGACATTGGAGGTCTGGAAGTCCACACCCTTCCGGTCTACCCATCTGCCTGTGTTCTCTTGGGAGATGGAACAGGAACTGGCTGGGGACCTCCGGCAGAGGTGCGGCAGCAGAAAAGAGAGCTGGTATTAGGTCCTGGTGCCAGCACTTACTGGTTGTGAGAAAGTGGGCAAGTTAATTGAGCTCTCGGTGCCTCAATTTCCTGATCTGTAAAATGGGGACCATAATACTGTCTCCCTCACAGAGTTGTTATGAAGATTAATGGAAACATGCGTGTAAAGTATCCAGCAGCTTGTACATAATAAGCTCAAATAAAGGTTAGATGTTAGTGGCAGTGCTGTTTAAGGCTGCATTAATTAGTTTAAAATGGAAGCCACCTTCCAATCTTCCTGCTTCTACGATGGCTAAAAAGACAATCTTTTTTTTTTTTTTTAAGCCTCAGTTTATCATGAGTTTGAAAGTTCCTGGCAGAATCACCCTTTTTTTTTTTTTTTTTCAGTTTTATTAGCAACTAATCAAGATTTTTTTTTTTTTTTTTTTCCTTTTTTGCGGTGTGCGGGCCTCTCACTGCTGTGGCCTCTCCCATTGCGGAGCACAGGCTCTGGACGCGCAGGCTCAGCGGCCATGGCTCACGGGCCCAGCCACTCCGCGGCATGTGGGATCCTCCCGGACCGGGGCACGAACCCGTGTCCCCTGCATCGGCAGGCGGACTCTCAACCGCTGCGCCACCAGGGAAGCCCCCCAGGCCTTTTTTGGACTCTGCTTCCTGTGGTTATGATCTTGTGTCACACAAGAAAAAGATCACTTTCACAGTCTAGGTTCACTGGAGAACTCCCTGCAGCCTCCCCTTTTCCTCTTCATCAGGACGATCCACCATGGGAGCCCCTAAATTTCAACCCGGAGAACCCCTCAAATCTTCTGGAGTTACTATCTCTTTTAAGAATCTTAAGACCACGGGATCGTAACTGTCTGTTTTCTGAAGCTATAGAGACAGACACTCAAGGAACAGATTTTCAAAAGGATACTTTATTCAATTAATTAGTCAATTCCCTTGTCATAGATGTGAAGTTACCCCTAAACCATCCTGTAGACTGAGGAGACTCTACAGTGAGAAGCAAAGAAATGTTGGGATGTAACAATAGGCGAGCTCATTTGAATTGCAAATGAGCAACCAGCAGGCAAATGAACCCTTATGGGAAAACCACTCTAATCATAAAAACTGCTTGCTTTCGGGGAGACTGCAGTGTAAGGACAAACAGAGTCAAAGCTCCATGAACCCTCTGCAATATAGGATATTAGAGAATATCTAGGTAGGTTTCTCTGAAAATGCATGTGAATACAACAAAATGCATTGCTGGGCAATAGACAGTATGTTTAAAACTTGACTCCACAACTGTGGACTCAATTATTTATGGTTGTCACTATAGCTATGATAGTTTGGAAATAGTCAGGCTTTTCTCTGTTTTTATTTGTAGGAAAACAAGTCATTCAAGCTTTTTAGTGATGCAATGTGACTGGCTGTCGATGGCAGTTACAAATTTTCAAGCCCTGCCAAACACAGGAGTACCCGAAAGGGACATATGTTTTCTCTGCTTTGTGTTCCAAATTTGCCTTAAAAACATGCAATTATGTGAAGGCCTGACTTATATTTTCAAGAAAGAGCACAATAATGGTTCTGTTTTGTAGCTGTGTTTCTCCAAAACGTATTTATATTGCTGCCTTTTCAAAAGAAGTTGGCTAATGATCACTGGATTTTTGCATTCCGTCACGACTTATGAAAATTTGATTAGGGCTGTGAGATTTAAGAACTGATTTTTTAAGTGCAACAGAAATTTCGTTAACATCATTCGGTACTGCAGCCCTGAAGAGTCTTCTGTACTTAGGGTTAAGGTTAGGGTTTTCATTCACTTCCTTATTTTTGTGGACAGTGGGAGAAGGGGAGGCCGGAAGCACGTGTATTTGTAACAGGAGGCCAAGATGGAATAGAATGACCAGGAAAACAAAGAGCAAAGCTTGGAAGGTGCCAGAGGCTGTAGGTGTGTCATGAGCAAATAGGAAGAAGGCTGGGTAGGATATTTTGGGGGACAGAAGGATGGCTCTGGGGAGGAGTTGTGAAGGGAGAGAGTGAGGCTTTTTGGCCACATTTTATACTTAACCGAAAATTGCTGTAAAACCTTTCATAAATTATATAATCACTGGCTTTGGTTTCATGCCCTTCATTACTATTATTAATGATGGCGTTCACTTCACTCTCGCAGAAGCATTTCTCGTAAGTTTAAGGAGAGAAGATGAATTAGTCTCTTTCTGGATTGGGGAGCCCCCTCCTGGGAGGTAGGCAATTTTTTGTTATTTGTTCTTTTTCAGAAATGGAGGTAGAGAAGGGTGAAAGGCCCATTTCACATAATAAGGTGGTTAGTGGGCAAGTAATGATCATGATATAAATTTCAGGAAACTCTGAAGCTAAGAGAAAAAGATATTCAGGGGCAGTGGAAGGATAGAAGTCTGCGGTAAGGATAACATATATGCAGTATGTTCTGACTGCTTTGTACAAATCTAGAGTCACCACTTTTTAGGGATATAAGTGTTTTTAGCAATATAAATTTAGGAATAAATGTCTTATGTATAGACTCATAAAGTATACTGTGTATTTAATTGTAAAGGCTCAGAAAAATACAATATGAAAATTGAAATAATACCATGTTTTCCCCATAATATTCCAACCTTAAGGGGAATAATTTTCAAATCCTTAAAAAATTGTTTCACCCTCTGGAAGTCACATCTGGGATGTAGGATAAGAAGTCACACGCTTTTAGAGGCACCATCTTCTTGTTATAGGTCTCAGATTCGAGTACATTTTTCTCATACATGTTGTGTGTGAGCCTGATATGAACTTGGTATACTCTCACTGCTTTTTTGGATGCTGGAGAAGGCGTAGTCTAAGAAAATGTTGAATTCAACATTCAGTGGTATTATCTCTTACTGGGGAGGGGAAATGGCCCCTCAGTGTGATGGAATCATCTTTCACGTGTAGTCAAATATTGTTGGGGTCTTTCTCCCAGTCAGCTTTTTATACATTACCTCCTGGGCTCAGGTCTTGCCAAAAGAGCCCTACCGGGAAATTTTAAGTGGAAACTTCAGGTGGACTGTTTTCCCGTTCTAGAGTTAGGTTTCCAATTTTGTTCCTTGGTGAAAGCAAGTTAAAAAGTAATTATTGAGTCATTTAGGACAGAATTTGAAAGGTGCTTCAACTTTACAAAATTGTGGATCTCCCAGGAGCTTTGGTGTCAGTCTGAGTTTTATGGTAAAGGCCACCACCTTGGAAGCTTGGAGGTGGTCAGAGAGATTTCAGAAGATGATCCTATTGGGGAAATAGCCTATTTCCTCCTTTGCTATCTTCCTCGGGCCTCAGGAGATGGTGCAAGAACATCAGAGCTTAGCTCGGCTCTACCCACTGGTGACAGTTTATTCATTCTTTCTAAGCCGGAAGTTTAAGGATTTTCGTTTATAAAAGCCAGATTGTTGAGATAGTAGCTAAGAGACTGGAGGTGAGGCAGAGGCATTCTCTGGGGAATCTGTTTATTGAGCTAAGGACAGGGGACTAAAAGGTAACCAAATTCCCCAACACCAAGGGTACCAGGAGCCTCTGACCATAGCTTCAGAAAATTCACCCCAGAAGAAGAGGCCACAGATCAGTTCCCCCAGGGCCTCCTCCTGTTTCAGCCTGGGGTGAGACGGACCAAGGAGCAGAGGATGCGGCACGAGGCAGTTCTGATGCACTGGACTCCTGACAGGGAAGAGAGCATCTTTGGAATGTGATCTGGCAAAATATTTTCACTCTCCCTTTTCTCATATCAGTCCCGTCCC